GCCCTTTAATCTCCAGCGAACTGCCTAGAATCCCAGATCTTTCTCTTTCTCCCTCCTTTTGCAAACTTGCTGCTTCTCTCCTAATCACAATTCTGGCGGGAGCTGTGATTGATGGGGGCAGGACAATTGGGCCTCCCAACTTTGTGCCTCCTGCCCTCCATCCCCCCCTCCTCTCTGCCGCCTTTTCGTTTATCTCCCCTCATTTTATGGTAATGAGCCCTGGCTGCTTTCCTGCTCCAAGCAGTCTTGGATGCTTCCCCTCCAAAGGCATCCAAAGAACCGCACAAATATTACGGTGTTTTGTCCAGGGTGTGCAGTACGTGAAGGGTGAATAACTCCACCACTTGTTCTTCTCTGCAAAGCACACCCGCCTTTCTCTGAGCACCTTGGTGACCCAGAGACCACCACGAATCTTCGACATCTCTCACTCAGGAAAAAAAAGAGAGAGCTGAATCTCTGTCTCTGGCAAAAAAAAAGGAGAAGAAGCCCAGGTTGCTAGACATAGCCTGAACCCAAAACCAAACCCAGTGCCATGAGAAATAAAATAATTCAATAATGAAGATGTGTGAGAATTGCGTATGGCTCCATGATGCAAAACAGATGGCTTGGGCCTCTTTAAAACTACAAAACCTATGATCCACAATGAAACCTCGCAGTTTGGGTTCACATGCCCCTTGTTCCTTTTTGCCACCAAATGTGCATTTGCATTCCAGAATATGCTCCAACACTTTCATGCCACATGCTCCATAGTCTTCCAACAGGCTCTTTTATTACCAAATTCCCCTCTTTTAAAATTTTGTTATCATGCATTTATATATTGAAATATTTCTGAAAAACATCTTCATGTATGCGACAATGGCCACGAGCGTTCTGGTAGCACAAGGATGGAAGACGGAAGAAACCCACAACTAAAGAATCATGGCAAGAAAAATTGATGGACTATGCAGAACTGGCAAAACTGACAAATAAGCTACAGGACAAGGATAACTGTGACTTTAAGGATGAATGGGAACCCTTTACAAAGTATCTGAAGACGTAACAAAGTGAACTGGACTCCTTGGCAGGTTTTGAATAAACATTCACAAACTTTTTATTGATAATAATCAGCCAAATAGTTTGAGGATCTGTACAACTTTGTAACATGCAGAAAACAGCAGTCTCAGAGAAACCAAAGATTGGAACTGAGGGAAGTTGGAAGGTGGGGGCAGGTGGGTTTTGTGTTGGATGGGGGAGGGATGATATGTCTTGTTTTAATTTTGAATAAAAATTTTAAAATTTTTATTTTAAACTTAGTTTAAAGTTAAAAAACTTTTAAAAAAGAAGAAATATTTCTTTTTGGTGTTGGTTAACCAAGCCCTCTATGAAAAGTACCTTTCCTTCAAGTGAGCAACCACAATGGCTCGTCAATGGAAGGAGGGAGAGGAGCTGCTTGTCCTTGGGAAGAGCCACCATCCAACGGCAGAGCACCTCTTTCGTAGGCACACGCTGCCAAGTTCAGTTCTTGGCATCTCCAGTTAGGACTGCAGAAGACCCCTGCAGAAAACCCTGGACAGGCACTACAGGGAATGCTGAACTAGATGGACCAATGACCTGGAAGGTGGCTTCCAGTGGAATGGTCTCCCTCCAGAAGTTGTGGACTCTCCTTCCTTGGATGTTTTTAGAGGTTGGATGGCCATCTGTCATGGATGCTTTAGCTAAGATTCCTGCACTACAGGGGGTTGCACTAGATGACCCTCGAGGTCCCTTCCAACTCTACAATTCTATGTGCTCCAGCTCTGTGCATATAAGCCAAAAACTCCTATCCACAGAAAAGGTTGCCTGGTGGTCTCTGTGTGATGCTCCAGTTCCTCCTTCTTATTGGGGCAGCAGTGATTTTTCTCCATCTGTGCATCAGGTGTGCTTGGGTCCCTGATGAATCACTCCCTAAGCCCAAATCCAGCAGAACAGCATTGGTCACATCCACACCATACCTTTAAAGCCCTCTTATGCCACCTTTAGCAGTCTTGGCTGCCCACCACGAATCCTGGGAACTGCAGTTTGTTATCATTGCTGACTTCATGGACCTCCTATTCCCAGCACCCTTAACAAACTACAGTTCCCAGGATTCTTTGGGGGGGGCCATGACAGTTAAGACCTATAGGTGTGACCTGAGTCAGACCATTGCTCCATCTAGCTCAGCATCTTCTTCACTGACCACCAGCAGCTTCCGAGGCTACAGCAGCCTTCCTCAACCAGGTGCCCTCTGGATATGGTTGGACTGCAACTCCCATCATCCCTGCCTGCTGCCCACACTGGCCAAGGCTGATGAGAGTTGTGCTCCAAAACAGGTTGGCCTACACTGACTGGCAGCTCCAGTCAGGTGTCTATCCTCAGTCTTTCCTGGAAATGCCAGGGATCCAACTTGGGGACCTTCTGCAGTCCAACCAGGTGCTCTGCCACTGAGCCCTTCCCCACTGGAAAATTTCAACATACCGTATTTTTTGCTCTATAAGACTCACTTTTTCCCTCCTAAAAAGTAAGGGGAAATGTGTGTGCGTCTAATCATGGAGCTAATGCAGGCTGCACAGCTATCCTAGAAGCCAGAACAGCTAGAGGGATTGCTGCTTTCACTGCGCAGCGATCGCTCTTGCTGTTCTGGCTTCTGAGATTCAGAATTTTTTTCTCTCCTTGTTTTCCTCCTCCAAAAACTAGGTGTGTCTTGTGGTCTGGTGCGTCTTATAGAGCGAAAAATACGGTATATAGCACCCTGCCTCGTAGCAAATCAGACCATTGGTCCATTGACCTCAGCATTGTCTACACTGGCTTGCAAGGTTTCAGACCGGAGTCTTTCACAGCCCTACCTGGAGACGCCAGTGATGGAACCTGGAACCTTGCTGCATGCAAAGCAAGTGTCTTCCCCACAAGTGTTGCTTTAGCAGCAGATGGGAGCTTTAATAAATTGACAGTGCCAGGACTTATTTATGCTCTGAATTCATTCTCTATGGATTCCGACAGATTGTCTTCTTCCACTGTCCCCTTTTCACAGGCTGCATCCCAAATGCACTCTCTGGTCTGCCCTCCCCCTCCCCTCCCTCATTCCTCTCTTTCTCCCATCAAAATTTACAATCCCTCATTTTCATTCTGCTCCACCCCCCCTCTGGACGCTTTGTTCTTCAGCCTATATCACTGCATCGCAATTGTTCCGTGTTTATTTCAAACATTTTGGCGGGCTGTCACTCCGATGGAAATGTAATTAATTGGAGGGTTTGTTAAACCTGGGGACAATGGTGTCTGGAGCAGAGGAGGAGGGGAAGGAATAAATAGAAGAGGCTTGCGGTGGGTTTGTATGGTGTTCTAATGAACAGGCTAATAATAACAGCAGCGGTTTGGTGGGGAGCAGAACAGTGGTGGGGTTCTCTTTTATTAAATGTTTGCAGAAGTCTTAAAATGCACTGCGGCTGGATTGCATCACTGCCTAGCATTAATAAAGCTTGGATAAGAATTCCTTTGGGTCTAATCCTGCCAAATCTCTAGTTACAAAGAATGTCAGTAGTCACAGCACAAGGTTCCTAATCAAGGTTGTGGTGGTGGTGGGTGTCCTCCCCCCCCCTTGTTAATAAAAATAAAGAGGAAGGAAGTTGGATGCAGAGTCAAGCTGCAGCCTTTAATCAGTTGATAAGTGCAAATTAGCAACTTGGGCTGCAATCCGGAGCCCCACTTACCCAAGAGTAAACCCCATTTAATTCAACAGGCCTTGACTTTTGAGTAGACATGGTTCAGATTGCACTGTGAAATTCTAATTGTAGATTCAGAACTGGATCTGTTACTCAGGAAATGCAATAAACTGATGAGAGCAGAACCACACCACACATTTCAAACATATCCAACACACATTTCAAACACACAACTCCCTCTGCCAAGAATCTTGGGAATTGTAGTCCGTCCGTCCCCCCCCCCCCCCAGAGCTACATTTCTCAGGACACCTAACAAACTATGGTTCACATGATTCTTTGGGAGAAGTAGTCCCTAGCTACTTATTTGCACAAAAGTTTGAAACACACTGGTGCTAACTGGGAATTCAAAGAACCCCCCCCCAAAAGTGTGATTTTTAAATGTAATTTGTGAGGGGGTTTTTTAGCTGTGCACTCTTCTCTCTGTGTGTCTCTGACATGGGTCTCACTGTATCCAACAGCATCCAAATGTAGGCAAATCCACCTCCTCAACCTTGGGAAAATTTATAATCATAGAATTGTAGAACTGGAAAGGACCAGGAGGGTTGGATAGATGACTCCCCAGTGCATTCTAACTCTAAATTCTAGGATAGCTCAGTTGGTAGAGCATGAGACTCTTAACCTCAAGGTTGTGGGTTCAAGCCCCACATGAAGCAAAATATTTCTGCATTGCAGAGAGTTGGACTAGTAGATGCTCCCTTCCAACTGATTCTATGTGGTCACATTTTCTAGAGAGTAATCTAGAAGCAGTGGGGGAGGGGGAGGAGTGAGGTGAATATTGGGGAGGATGGAAAGGGAAGGGATGGGAATGTTGAGGGAATTTTGTTCACTTATCTTGAACTGTTGCATTTTGTAACTTGTAAAGCAAAGTTAGTTGGAAATAACAAAACAAAACAAAAAAACCCCTGAATTTCTCACTCTCCGAAACAATATTTTTGCCTCCTTTGAAAAAGCAATTCCAAAACTCACAACTTTTAATTGCTACTAATCCTACGGGATTTAAATGATGGCTTAATTTAAATGCACTCAAAACTCTGAAAGCAAAGCATGCCTGTTCTGCCTGCAATGGACTTCCACACATCTGGAGAAAAATATTTTCAGAGTCCGTCCGTCCGTCGCCCCCTTTTTTTGAAATCACATTGTTCTCAGAACCACTAAATTGCTAATCTAGCGGAGAATCGCACCCTCCCCTTTGCCTGCATTCCGATTGGCCGAAAGTTTCCCAGCTTGGTTTTGATTGGGAAACCGCAGAGGATCTCCACCCCACCCCCCGCCCCGCGTCTCCAAACCCATACACTCCCGGCTCTCCCCTCCGCCCGGGTTGAAACTGCCTTGCGCTCTGCGGGCGTCTTATATAGTCCGTTTCAAACTCACCATGAGAATCTCGGGAGCTTCCCATCTCTCTCCAGGTCTGTCTTGCCCCCGATTGCAGCGTCTCTCGCAGCGAGCGGGGGCGAGGACGCGCTACTTTGCAGCCTGAAAAAGAGGGGAAAGGAAGAGAAAGCGGGGGATTCCTTGCGAGAAGCCAGAAGAAAGCCGGCAGAGGGAGGAGATGGATGGTGGGGAGACTCGGGCGTTCCTAACTCCGCCAGCTCATTCCAGGATGGTGCTCCAAAAGGATTCGTTCCCCTACATTTGATTCTTCTCCTCTCCTGCTTCTTTGCCCAGGAGTTAGAGACCTTAAGATGTCTTTGGCGTTGGGGCTGCTGGGCTTAGTTCTTCTGCATACAGCCCTTTGCAATTACTCAGAAGATCAGTGTAGCTGGAGGGGGAGGTAGGTATTAATACGGACAAATTTCTTGCCTTCAAAACGTGTCGTCGAAAAGTGATGCTGTTTGACCTTCATTCATCTGCAGAGGTTTTTCCTTCTCTCTCTCTTCGAAATACAGTGGTACCTCGGGTTAAGTACTTAACTCGTTCCGGAGGTCCGTACTTAACCTGAAACTGTTCTTAACCTGAAGACCACTTTAGCTAATGGGGCCTCCTGCTGCTGCCGCGCCGCTGGAGCATGATTTCTGTTATCATCCTGAAGCAAAGTTCTTAACCTGAAGCACTATTTCTGGGTTAGCGGAGTCTGTAACCTGAAGCATATGTAACCTGAAGCGTATGTAACCCGAGGTACCACTGTACTGGGTTACGTAGGTTCTTCAAACCTGCTGTGTTCCATGCTAGCAGCTAGAGTTAGAATAAGTTCTGGTAAGCATTAAAGGAGTCAGTGGTGCAACAGCAGTTCAAGGAGACAGGCAGAAAAAGAAATTAGATTTTGGATGCGGAAGCGGTGCAGGGTGTGAGTCACAGGCTTGTCTTAGCCAACTAAGTTTTACACAGAGTAGACCCATCGAAATGAATGGGCCTAAGTGAGCCAGGCTCATTAACTTCAGTGGGGTCTACTCTGAGTTAGAACCAACAGTGGCTACAACCCACAGCTGCTTATAAAGAGCAGGGTCAGATTCCCTTCAGGGTTTTGCAAAGTTAGCTGGTGATGGGCCTCCTTAACTGGGCCTTTTATGTTGCAAAACCATGTCCTGGTGTTGGTTTGGCATCCTCCTTAACTGATTGATTTTAGGTTTTTCATGGAATTACAATGGGACTTGGCTGATGGTTATTGTTGTCGTCCCGTCCCCCCACAGGTGGAGATTGGGAGTGCAATTCTATATGTCCATACTCAAAAATATGATTTACTGAGTTCAGTGGAACTTACTTTCAGAAAAGGATTGCAGCCTAACTTGTTCTTATATTTTATGGATAAGAGAGAGAGAAGTATTGGAATCTCCTACTGTTCTTTAACAATGGTTTACCAGAAAGACAAGTGAGGTCCTACTTATTTGAGAGTTTAACTTTCCTCCTGGCTTAGTAAACATTGGTTGGCCTAAACCAACCTTGTGCACAGACTGCAATTCTGGTCATCTGCTAGGGACACCTAACTTATACTGGCTGAAACTGATTGAGTGATTTTGTGGGCTGGTTCTTTGTGCCTATGAGTGGCCTAATTTATTAAAAGGAGAAGAATTGTATGGTGTGGAGAGGGAACTGGCCTGGTAGCTGCCATTTCTTCATTTTTCTTGGGTGCTGAAAAAATCCCTGGGATTAAAGTACTTTCATGGGGTGCTTTACTCATTTATTATGGGTTGCTCAGAATAGACCCACTGAAAATAATGGACATGACTAGCTTACATCCATTGATTTCAATGGGGCAGCACTGAATATAGCTTGGATACAACCCTATCCTGAACTTCTCAAAGGCTCAGGGTAGTATTGCTGGTTCTCCCACTCCATTCATGTCTGCAGACAGGTCCTGATTTCATGTTTCCTCATTTTAGTGTGCTACAAGTTTTTCTTCGTTTTCTGAGCAACCGATTAAATAGGGCAGCCCTTTTTGCAATGTGTGCTGCAGTAGCAAACCAAATCCATAAAGATTTCTGGATTTGGCACCGTAAAGGCTTAGTTTGTTTTTAATGTTATATCCAACCTTTCTATAATTGAAGTTGGCTTGTGACACTAGTTGCTGTGCTGGTGTCCAGAATGCTGGCCACACTTCAGGGCAGGCATGCATGCCTAGATTGAGATGCAGGGGGTCATAAGAACAGCTGCGCTGGACCAAAGCCTCTGCTTTAAAAAATAATAACAATTTGACAAGCTGTGTGGCTGGAGGCAATGGTATAACTGGGTAATTTTAGATGGTGGGATTTATGGTCCTAAATCCCTATCGCCCCACCACCAGTAATGGGTTTTCCTTCGCTTCCATCAAAATGTGTTGAGCCAGCCCTGTTGCGTTCCAGGGCCCTGTTTCTTATTCTGCTGAGTTGGGGCCCCACCATAGAATCATAGAAATGGAGAGTTGGAAGGGGACCCCCAGGGTCATCTGGTCCAGCCTCCTGTGATCCAGGAATCCTGCCCCACAGACATCTCTGGGTGGGCCTGAACCACCAAACTTCTGATGAACAGGAAAGCGCACTGACCCATTCCACCACGGGATCATCTGCCCTAAAGTCCTGTCCTAATGGCACCACTGGCTAGAGGAGAAAACATTGGAGTTAGACTGAATGCTTCTGAGCTATTGTGGCTTGTGGGACTCGAAATGTTTCTGATATCTGAACATGGTGGCTATGTGATTCCTCCACAGTTGGAGGTAGTAATGTGTCTGAATGCCACTTGCTGGAAACTGCAGGAGGAGACAGTGCTCTTGGGCTGTCCCACAGTCATCTGTTTGGCCACCATGAGAACAGGATGTTGGACTAGACGGGCCATTGGATTGATGCAGCAGGGTCCTTTTGCTGTCTTATACTGAGTCAGACCACTAGTCCCTCCATTTTGGGGACCTAATCCGGCCCCCTGGATTTATTTATTGAGGTAAAATCCTAAAAAAATGATCAAAAACTCCAATCCTAAAAAAACAACTCAACAACTTTGGGGTAAAATCATAAAAAAGCTCAACAACTTTGGTCGGCCTTCTCGCTTGTTCACTTCATCAAATCTGGCCCTCTTTGAAAATAGTTTGGGCACCCCTGATCTAGGCCAATGTTTTCTAGACTGACGGGCAGCAGCTCTCCAGGGTTTCAGGCAAGGATTGGCCCTGATACCTTCTGCATGCAAAGCAGAGGCTCTACCACTGAGCTATGGCGCTTCCCAATTTCAAAAAGCAACAAAAGAACACGTCATACTTCCTTTGTGTAGAATGCTGAAATGTGACGCAGCGATGGTGGGGTAGACCGGAGGGAAGGAGGCAGCGCCTGGCGTGTATGGCCACTTACATCATAACAAGCAGAAAACATGAGAAGTCAATGCAGAGATTGGAGTATGCCTGGCTTGGCCAGTTTAGCCTTCTCTGTATGGCAGCCCCTTGTGGAATGCATTACAGTAGCCGAGCTGAGAAATACCGGAGATTTGTTTTTTTTTTGCACGTTTCATCTTAAATGGTAACCTTGCGCTTGAAATGCACTTAGAGAATGTATTGACAGTTTGCATTGGAATTATCATAAATGCACCATAATTTATTTCCTTCCCACGTAATTTAGTATAGTTGTATCCTGTGGGAAATGCAAGAAAGAATGACAACATTGTTAGGTTGTGTGGAGGCTTTGAAAGCTGGTGGGGTTTTTTTTAAAGTCTCACTAAACAGGCCATGCTGGGTTTGGTGAGCAAATGCTCTGTTACAATTTCCCCTCTTTTAGCAGCTGTTCCCTGTGGGAGGTGGGGCAGTCCAGGCCCTTGCTACCTTATAGAGCAAAGGTTGCTGCTGCAGCTCAGCTGAATCAATTCAGCTGTTGAGCCACAGACAGCTGACGATAGTTGTTGTGTGTCTTCTTCTTATTATTATTTTCATCGTTATTACACAATCGCTGACCATAACACTTTTTAGGGAGTGCAAGCGGACAAGTCTCCATCCTGATGGGTTTATGAACCAAAATGCAACGTAGGGAAAACATCAGAGGAAGGGGAGTCAGGACAAGCGAGGGGCCCTCCAGACTGGTGCTTTATTGCGGGTGTATTCTGCAACATTTGTATGTTTAAATTTGCAAACTGCACTGAACTAGATTGTATTGAAGGCATAGTTTAATAGGTCTTTTTATATGAAAATAATTGAACTCAGAAACTTGTATTTTTCCAGGGTTGATGACTGACCAGTATTGATTTAGATTGCCCAGTATAATCTGACCCAGAGGTCTTTGACTGTGTACCAACCACTTCTCTTTTAAGCCTTAAAATGAGGGGGGGAGTATAAAAAGGGGGGTGCTTGTTACTCTCATTAATTCCGTAAGACAACTGTTCTTCCTCCTGTGTCCTTTGCAGAATGTCCAAGATGAAAATGGGAGGAAGGGGGAGAGGTATCTGCAGGCAAAATAACTCACAGCTGCAGGGCAGAATAATTTAGATTGCAAGAGCTTTGAATAATTCAACCTTGTGGGTTAGTTCTACTCAGAGAAGACTCACAGAAATTAGTGGGCATGACTTATTTATGCACATTCATCTTAATAGGTCTACCCTGAGTAAAACTTAGTTGGCTACACAAACCTTCTGTTTTCTGAATATTCTACGAATGTGAATGAACCATGTACTGCAGTCCATGAACAGGGGAACCCTCAGACTTCATTCATAAAGAAGGGGCCCACTGTGTCTTCTAGCATAATGTGATTGCTTTTGTGGGGCCTCTAGAGGGCAGCGTAACAGGGTTTTGGAGGGGCGTGTCGGGTGTGTGACACAGCCGCCGCATCTGTTTCTCAGTGATCTTGATCCTTTGCAGAGCAGATGAGTCACTTTTGCTGCGAAATGGCAAGTCGCTCCAGAGTCTTCAACCATCTGGACGGCATCGTGCTGCAAAAGACATCTTTTCTGTCCATGGATTGGGAATAGGATGTCCAGGTGTCCTACTTTACAGGGGAAAGTCCTCTGTTCCAAGGGTGGGGAACCTTGGGCCCAGCAGCCAAGTGCAGCCCTCCAGGTCTCTGGCCCTTGGAACTCTCTCCAGGCCACGCCCTTTTCTCACAAGCCACACCCCCAGTGGCCCCTGTGTTACAACCTGTGTGTTTTTGCCAGGCTGAGCTCCATCCCTATACTCTGCTAATGCCTCTGGTTTGTCTGGAGGCAAGATAGAGAAGAGTGTGTGACACCATGTGGAAAGTAGGGAAGTGGACATATGTTGCTCCACCTACTTTGGTCTCTGGCCCTGCCCACCACTGGCATGTGGCCCCTGGAAGGTTTTCCAGAAGTGAATGCAGCCCTGAGACTGAAATTTGTTCCCTGCCCCTGCTGAATTCAATGGAGCCCTCTGTTTGAAGGCCGTGTGGCCTAAATCCAGATAATGGGCTCTAGCCAATGCTAGTCCTACTAAGTTAAACTTCATTGTGTTATGACAATAAGAAGGGAGAGTGGCAGGGACCTTCAACTTACCCACAAATGTTTAGCACCTAAGCCGCCAAACAGGTCACCAACTTCCTCCTTCTGCTGAGATGTATTTCTGTTTAAAGTAGAGCGATTATGTCTAAATTTGCATTTTTACATATACGCTAGCACCATACGTTTTTGGTGGTGGTGAAAAACAAAGTGCCACTACTCAAATATCGATAAAAATGCTGTGAGTGCCAGCACAAAATGGCTGCCATGGGCAGCAAAAAAAAGAGGTGACTGTGCTCCGTACCGGTGAAAATAACCTCAAAAAAGCTATTGCATTAGCATCTTCAGAGTTTGTACAAATCTGTGTCTTTTGTCATTTTTTGTGATGCATTTCATCTGTTTTGACAAAGAGTAAGGGGCAACTCTAACTGGGGAGAGAAGGGCAATCTGAACAGGTGTTAATGATGCAGAGGCAAGCTCTGAGAATGTGGTTGAGAAATACTCATGGGGCTCATTATTGGCCACTGTGTCTCCCTGAGAGCTCTCCAACCGCTAGGGCCAGTTCTGACATCAGTTAGGTGCTGGAGAACAGCAGCAATAGTCAGGGGTGGCCCAATAAATCTTACTGCTTACAGCAATGGACGAGATGCTGCTGCCGCCACTCCATGCCATACACCACTGCAGGGCAGCCCAGGATGTTTGGTCGCTCCAGGAAAAACTGAAAAAGCCACTGCCCTGCCTCTTCCTCCTCTTAGGAGGCACCATTGCCTGGAGGCAGCCCAGGGAGTAAAAGGAGGCTGGAATGGAGCGTGTGGCACAGCAGCAGCACCCCTATCAGCTGTCAGGAGGCTGCCCCAGTGTGCCTCCTGGGTGGGCTGACCCTGGTCCACTGCACTGGCCATTGGTGATGGGTAGACATTTTTTCACACCTGAGAGCAGCAGACTAGCTTGGGAGGGTGCTATGCAACACACACAGCTCTGTTCTCCAATGTCTCACCTCTCACACCCTTTCAAACCTCCCTTCTCAGCCCTAACTTGCATCTCTTTGCTGATATTCTTATGATACCAGTTGTTGCCTTCTTCCTGACTGATGTATGTCCTGACTTTCTTGGGAACAGACAAAACTGCCCCAGCTTCCTTGTTATACTAACTCCATTCCACTATCCCTTGCAGTGGTCTGTCGCAGGAATCGGGCAGCGTGGAACAGATCTCCTTGCACTGTGCTGAGGGATCCTTGGAGTGGTTGTATCCAGCGGGAGCCCTGCGCCTGAGCCTTTTCCCCCGCCTTCCCACGGGCACCACCGGCAGAGAGAACCCCAGACGGGTGACAGCCTGCATCAAGTCCTCCAACAGCTTCCGAGGAGCTCAGATTTACTTGGAGAGGGACGGTGTCTTGGAGCTCCTCCTCTCGGAGGCCGACGCTACCTTGCAGCCCAAGGTGCGCTGTTTTAGCTGGCTGCCCAAGGAGAAGGTTGCCCTGTTCCTCCAGTCCACCTTGCACCAAGACATCAGCCGCCGGATCGCTGCCTTCCGCTACGAGCTGCGGGGTGACTGGAACTCCCGCTTCTCGTGGCCGTCCAGAAACCTCAGCATGGAAGGTAAAGTTCTTTCATGGCTTTCATGGCTGGGTTTGGAGGGAACATTTGTGATGCATTTGTGGTAGTATTTTCTCAAGCTTTTATCTTCTAGCTTATCAAACCCATCTTCTCCCCATGTGAGCATGGAGAGATTCTTGTGCAAGACCAAGAGTCCATTTAGCCATGCCAGATCATGGATAATGCCAGATAATTTAGAACCCAAACCATGGTTTGAGCCTCCAAACATATAGGCAACCCGTGGTTTACTGTTGTTTTACCATCTCACCACTTCCATTTCCATGGTGCAGGAGGCTGTAACTTTGTCAATTTAGCCATCATGCCAAAACAGAGTTAAGCCTCCTTAAACATGATATAATTGTGGATTCAGCTTAAAATAAATGTGACCCCCCCTTTCATAAAACTGTACAGGGAAATGTCAGAGGGACACTTCCTTTCTCCCGCCTCCAGATCAGGGTAGGAATACAGGGCAGTAGGTATATGCCCATTTTCAGAAATCTAACATGGACCAAGGAAGTTCTGCTGCTGGGGAGGCATTCAATTCACCCAGTTCTTGGGTGATGGGCCTTGGGACCCCCAAACTCAAAATTGGTTCTGCTTTTCTTCAAGAGAAATATAAGTTGAAGGACAAACAACTCTGAAGTAGAGCAGTTTGGTATAATTCCTTAACCTTTACTTATGGAACCCCCACATTCAAAGCATGAGACTCTTAATCTTGGGGTTGTGGGTTAGAGTCCCAGATTGGGCAAAAGGTTCCCGCATTGCAGGTTGGACTAGATGACCCTTGTGGTGCCTTCCAACTCTTTGATTCTGTGAAAGGTGGTATTCCTCTGAATACAAGATTCGGGAGAGGGCCAGGGTCAGCATAATCAGCATTCCTCCCTGTTGCTGGCTGTTCACCTGCCTTCTGCCAGATGAGCAGTGAAAAAGGCAAGGGAATAGGACCAGCATCCTCTTAGCTGGCTCTTTCCCTCTGCCTTGCAGTAATGCAGATTTGGCCCAGAAGAAGATAGCAAGCCAATGGGCAGTGGTGGGGACACTGGCAAGGAGGGGCAAGGTTTTAGATTTAGGTTTATTAAATGTGTATATTGCTTCTCACTAAAAGGTCCTGAAGCAATATACATGTAAGTGAAAAATACAGTAATAAATATTCAAAAACATACTCAGGACATTTGCCCAGGATCCTTTGAAATCTGAAGTTGACACTTAGGAGATAGGGATCGACAAATACGTCAATTGCAGGCTTTCTCAGTTTCTCACTTTTCCAGACTTAAGTACAATTCCCCCCACTTTAGCTCAGCTGGTAGAGCACGTGACTCTTAATCTCAGGGTCACGGGTTCAAGCCCCATGTTGGGCAAACAATTCCTGCATTGCAGGGGTTTGGACTAAATGATGCTCATGGTCTCTTCCAACTCTACAATTCTATTATTTCTATATAAGCTTTTTTTTTTTTAGTTCCCATCCATGAAATTCTCCTAATATACACATTTACTATGCAATCTACCCTAATATACACATCTTTGCAAACCAATTTCCCCAATATAATGCATTTCTCTATATTATTTCCGCTAATATATGCATTTTATGCACGCTTTACCCCAGTATGTGCATTTTTGCGCACATTATTTGGCTGGGGAAATGCATTGCAAAATTTGGAGAAGCTCCCGTTTTGAAAGATAGATGTGTTTCGGTTTGCATATTGCTTTGGAAAATGTACATTACCTTTAAACATGAACTGAATTGAATTCATCCCCCATCCCCATTCAGGGAATAAAAGATCAAGGAAGGCTCAGTGCTCTCAAGCTCTATTTCCAAGCTTTCCAGAATCATTTCCCTGGATACTGCTAGGAACTGAATCCTGGAACAGATGAATATTTGCATGATATTCTTATGCCTATTGTGTTACAAGTGGCACATGCGTAGGATCATGAGCCACTGTGGTGTAGTGATTAGAGTGCTGGATTAGAGCGTGGAGACCTGGGTTCAAATCCCTACTCAGCCATGAAGCTCGCTGGGCCAGTCATTGCCTCTCAGCCTAACCTAGCACACAGGGTTGCCTTGAGCTCCTTGGAGGAAAGGAGGCTATAAATGTAAAATTAAACAAAATAAATAAGGAAGAAACATGACATTCAGGGCTATGCTAAGTCCTGCTGGAAAGAAACTGTGCATGTAGCTGGGGCTGTTTGCTTTTTCTTCAGTGTGGAAATAAGGTTGCCACACAACCAGAAAATTTATGTCCTGATCAAAATGGTGTCCTTTTTAGCCTAAGTGTGAGGAAGCTTTTTCAGCCCTGGGGCTGCATTCCCTCGTGGTTAACTTTCCGGGGGCCACATTTCAGTGCTGGGTGGGGCCGGGGCAAAAGTCTGTGGGACAATGGATGTGACTCATTCCCTTGTGCAGTGCCATAGCCCAATCCAAGAGTTAGTTCAGCAATTCCAGGCTCAAACAGCACATTGGGCTTTCTCTAGGCAGGCAAGAAAGCAACAGCTTTCTGTAATGGTCAGAGTACTATGACTCATATATCCTTTTTTTAAAAAAAAGAAGTCTTTCCCCGCTTGGGTTAAAGGAACTCTGCACATGCCCTGAGACACCCTTATGCTAGAACATTTGCAAACCAAACGTGGAAACAGTCTTAACTTGCTTCCCAGGCTTAGGAAAGCGAAAACTCCTTTTGCTGTTGTTGCATTTCAAGGACTCTGAATGCTGTGTGGGCCTCCCTCACGGCAAGGGGAGGAGGTGGGCAAGTAACCCAAGCCGTCCGGAGTGTGCTCAGCAATCGAAAACACAAGGCCGAAGAAGGAACATCTAATCGGCCTCATCTCTGAGCTAACAAAAGTCCAGTGTGCGGCAGTTCGTAGCGGAGTCACCCGCCAAGACGTTCAGCTGCATCTCAGATAAGGCCTGAACATGGTTACCATAGCAACCCTAGGCATTCTCCCCAACTGGGGAATGGCCTTTTTTTTTAAATGCTTTTTACTAGGCTTTGTCTTGAGAAATGTTGGCACCTAGGGCACAGCCCAGCCCAGAGTTAGGCCCACTTGAGCCCTACCAGCTTAGCTCTTTAATGCCAATGGGATTGTGCCCAGAGGGCATCTTAGGAAAATAGAAAGCTGCCTTCTACCAAGGCAGGCCATTTTGTCAGGCCTATTTGTTTATTACATTTCTATCCTGCCTTTTCCTTCAAGGAGTTCAAGGCGGTACACATGGTTCTCCCTTCCCCCATTTTATCCTTGCGACAACCCTGTGAGGTAGATTAGACTAAGAAGCTGACTAGTTTCAAACAACCTTCTACAGGTACTTAAACCTAAGAAGACCAGTTTGTTGGTGCATGGTCTCATAATGCCAAAATTTCTATTTTGTTTGGCTGTAAACCTTAACTCTTAAGTATATTCTTTCCATTAAACACTAGGAGCAGAAGGGGAAGCTTAAAGCTAAACCTTTTATTTTAGGGTTTTTTAATGTTTCATATATATATCATCTATCTATCTATCATCTATCTATATCTATCTAGATAGATATAGCTTTCAAGGCATTTGGTCCAGGAATCTTTCCCAGCTCTTCCTGCTCAGCAGAGAAGCCCCACATAGAGCTCATTGCAGTAACCTGGTCTTGAAATAACCAGTGCATGAACTGCTGTGGCCAAGTTTTCCCAGCCCAGGAACAGTTGATGATATTGTACCAGTCACAGCTGATAAATGATGCCTCTAGCCACAGAAGCCGAGTCTCTAGTGTCAAAGATGAATAGAGTGTACAAGCCACTTTCCATATTTTCAAGTGAAAATCACCTGGCCCAAACATGCCCTGGAATGCTATTTCTCCTTCCCCTCAACAGAAAAACCAAACTTTTCACAATGCCTTTCTACACTTTACTTCTGCCTCCCCTCATTCTCCACATCCCTTCTCTAAAGAAGAACTATTGGATAGTGAGGCCGGCATGAACTCTGTTTGAGTAACTGTTTCTTTTTTCTCTTTGGAAGATGCAGGGAGCTGCCGTCCGTGTAACAACACTGAGATTCTGATGGCCGTTTGCACTAGTGATTTTGGTGAGTACATCTTCCTCAACTTCACATTTTCAGCTCCTCTCTTCAGCATCGTAAATTGAAGCTGCCTTATACTGAGTCATTGGTCCATCTAGCTCAATATTGCCCACACTGACTGGTAGCAGCCGCTCAGGATTTCAGACTTCTGGACTGGCCCAGTTTGCTTAGCGATCCTTATTGCATTCATCATTGCAACCAACCCTGTGATTGTGATTTACTTGCCTAATGTTACCCAGGGACCCAGGCCTAAGAATTGTTAATTGCAGGGCTCTTTCTTTTGCTTTTTCCTTTTACATGGGAAAAAATGCCATAGAAATCACTCTTAATAATGCATGTGCAGCTGTGAAAGCCAAAGCCTGCCCTTCTGGAACTCTGTCCTCTGTCCCTGAACGCTGCTTAAGTAGCTAACCAGAGCTGCCTGCCTGCCAGTCCAGGGCTGAGGCACCAGCAGCCAGAGCTGCCCCCACAGAGCAACTCGCTCCCCAGCTGGGATGATGTGGCCTTTCCATTCTCCCCTTTAAATGCCTGCACACTCAAGGCTGTCCGGCTCAGTGGGCAGTTGCCAATTATTGCCCCGCACGCTCTGCTAACCTCCAGATTTGCAACCCTAAACAATAGGAGAAGGGGGTCAGGGGGTCCGCTGGCTGCCCACTCCAAAGTTCCCATGGCAACCAGGAAGTCAAACAGGAGAACAAGGGGATTTGCCACGCCGGATCAGATCACGAGCCTGTCAGAATGATCTCGGAGGGGCTAATTCTTGCTGATTTGGAGGAAGCCAAAGGCACCTGCGTGCAAGCAGGCTAATAGCAGGATTCCTCTCCATAATTGGCTAGATCTGACCAGTTATACTCAGCTGTAGCCTTAGTGCTGGGTGCCACTACAGAACCACTTCTCTTGATTGATTTGGTTTTGTTTCCATGCTGCCTTTCAGTGCAGGGACCGCCAGTGTGGCTGAGAAAAATAATAAAACAAGCCCGACAGCAATAATGTAGAGCATTGATTTAGAAATGCCAACAAATACATGAAAGCCAAGCAAGCAAAACCAAACTGAAATAACTGATTTGTTTGTGGTCAAATGCATGCCAAAACAAGTAAGCTTTGCTGTTTGCCTAAAGCAGGGATGGGGGACCAATATCGGGTCCTGGGGCCAAGTGTGGCCCTCCAAGCAACTCTGTCTGGCCTTCGGTGATCTCTACAAGCCACACTCGCCAGCCCTGCTCCAAGACCACCCACAAGTGCTTTTGCCTAGCCAGAATATGTCCTTGAACTATGGCAAAGCCTCTTGCTCCCTGAGTAGAAGACAGAGAGAGATGCATGTCCAAACTTCTGACTTTTGCAGAGCTGGAGTGCAGCCTATTGTACAAAAATAAGGACCACATCTCCTGCTCCATCCACTCTTTGCTTCGGGATCCACCCACAACTGGCATGCCCCCCACCCAAGTTTACTGTTGAGGGGTGAACTACAGTTCCCAGGGTTTTTTTGGGAGACGGATATGCTTTAAATGTGCTTTAGATGCATGATGTGTACATACGGACGTAGCCAGGATTTTTTTGGGGGGGGCATGAATTTTGGGGGGCAGAACTGATGTGATTAGTTAAGTATTTCTATTGTTTTACTTGATTTGGGGGGGGCAGCTGCCTCCCTGCCCCCCCTGACTACACCCATGTATGTGCGCATATCCGTGGTTTGTAGGATTTCACACACACACAGAGTTGGGTTTTATCAGTGTGCTGCTGCTCTGTAAGTAATTGTTGACATTGTATTGATATATCTCATCGACTGTGCTATTTTTAGTCTTTAAACTGCCGTCCATTTGGCTTTAATCTGCTGTTTTCTCTCTGTGTGTATGTGTTTTGTAAAACTGCTGTTGGCCAGTATATATATAACAAACAAACGTTTCTGTTTTCTCCACTCCTTCCACCCCTGCAGTCATCCGTGGCAATATCCGGACAGTCTCCAATGACATGGAGTCGCAAGAATCCATCATCAGTGTCAGTGCCACCCGGATCCACCGCCAGAAGTTTGCCTTGTTCCAACCGGTTGGCAAATATGGGAAATCCACGGGCAGCATCCGTACTCTGCTGCGGTGTGGAGTGAAGCCGGGACCTGGCAGCTTCCTTTTCACTGGGTGGCTGCATTTTGGGGAGGCTTGGCTCAGCTGCGCTCCTCGCTACAAAGACTTCCGCCACATCTATGAGGGTGCGCGCCAAGCTCACGAAAACCCCTGTGAAGTCTCCTTGGACTGATTTGTTGATGGGAAATGGGTGGCAGGAGTCGATTTTGCCAGGAGGGCAGGATCCACACACACAAACCACACCGTGACCATGCTGGAAATGGCATTTCCTGGCTTAACAGTGGGAGACGAGACCTGTCTTTTGAACCTAGAGGGAAACAAGCTCTTTTCTTTCCTGTATGAGACTGATGGCCCTACCCATAACTTTCTCATTGGGTCTTTCCAGCAAAGGGAGGAATTGTAGGCCAAGCGAAAGGGCAACTGAGCTGCTCTCTGGTTAGGTTGGAACATGCCACAAATTGCATAAAGGGAATTGAGACTCTCCCAGTGTGGGAAATGTTGTCTTGCTCAGGACTTCTTTATCCTATTATTTACTGGAGCGCCAAATCAAACCCACACCTAAAAATAAGTGCATGATGCCCTTCCCGAGTTCTGCCCCCCAGCAAACCCCTAATGCTATCGCCTATGGATCGCATATGCATTACCATCCCTCCCAACAGGAAATAGCATCACAGACAAGGAGACACTTCATTCGCTGCTCCTGCCTCCTTCCCAGTTTCTGGATGAGCTAAGGAAGCCTGCAAAGCGACCTCGTCTGTCTCTCCCTTCTGCGGCTTCCTTGACAAGAGAAACACCAGGATTGCATCTCGGTCAGTGACCAAAAACATAACAGGAATGAGATTCCCTTTTGAAAAAGTACAGTCTTGGTTTTCATTGGCACACCTTCATTCAATCAAACGTGGCAGAAGACATCAGGTAGGAAGACAAAGTGAGCAAGCAGTAGAAGTGAGAAGTCTGTTTGCCCCTTCTTGGGCAGGCGGTTTTGTAGGCGGGCCTCAGACTTCCATGTGAATGGCAGGCCGGATCGTTTCCTGCTGCTAAATCAGCCAATGGTGGCAGGAATTTGGAAGGTGTTCCCCTGGGCACAGGACCAACCGCCCAGTGGCAGCGTTTAGCCCTACGCCCAGGGCCAGGATATATTGCGGGCCTGCCTGGCCCTTCTCTTCCTGCGCTGGTTCTGGAGGGCCAGGCTCCATTGCATCGCATCGTGGAATTTTCCTACCTGATTGAATTGTGGATCCTGGACTGTTCATTCCTGCTGGTGTGCTTTGCTCACTGCACACCTTGTTTTAAAAAAGCCTGCATCAGTGTAACACTTGAGATGCCACAGATATGGCTGTAGTTCAAAGGCGGGCAACCTGTGGGCCCTGCATATGTTGCTAGACTCCCAACGCCCATCATTTGCAACCAGCACGGCCAGTGTTGAGGGACGATGAACTTGTAGGTACACCAAAATCCTGCAGGGCTACAGGTTCCCCAACCCTATTATAATCAACCTTTCATTTTTCTCTGCCCCTATGAATCCCAAATCTAGATAATCTAGTCCATTGGATATGGATTTCTAACCCTGCTTCAATGATGAGCTCAGGTGTTAAGGACCCAACCCCAGGTGCTGTTGCAGCTTTTCCTGGTAAAATTTAATTCCCTGTCCCTAACCTAGGGGTGCACCCCTTGCCTCTCTCCAGATGTTGTTGGACCCCCCCTGTTGTGGTGTGGGTTTTTTGTATGTGTCATTTTTTTCCTTTTGCTTGTTTGTTCTTACATATTTGAAAACCTAACAAAAACAAATTTAAAAATACAGTTTCAGAAAATGCAAAACAAACAAGCAAGCAAAAGAATTTAAGCTTGAGAAATTAGCCTGTCTACAAACCACCTTAAATCAGTTTTATTAATCCAGTTTAAATTAAACCACTGAAAATCTCAGTTTAGGTAAGCCCTTAAAACTAGTTTTCAGTCCAGTAATTATTATTATTATTATTTTTACAAGTGAGGATTGAAGGAGTATCATGTGCACTAAAGTTATAACGATACCAAATTTGAGATTTTGTTTTTTTAAATCTAAATTCTATTGTAAGGTTTATGTGTATGTGTGGTTTCTTTCATTTTCTTTTCTTTTAAAAAGTGAAATGTTAATATAAAGTGAATCACCACAGTCAGAGAGACACTGCCAGATGCATTTGGGCCGTCTGTAGTAATTTTTAGACCAAAAGCAAAACAAAATGCTAAGAAGATCTGTAATATTTTAAATATAGTTTTTGTACATATTCATGTCTGTGTACAGGTCAAGAGAGACAAATCTGACTCTATGTAGCTTGTAATGGTGGGATTTCTTTTCCATTATTTGTTCTTTTTTAATCTTGCATTTGTCTTGGGGCTGGGAGGGTACATTAAAAATGCCTCTTAGTAATGCCTGATCTATGGTGATTTCTCTCCCTGGCTGGGTTTATTCTTTCGCCCCTTGGCAGTCATCAAACAAAATGAACGGAGCACTCGAAAGAGCTGGAGGATGGTCAGCTAGATAATTATTTGTCTAGGGAAGCAGCCGAAACAGCAGCGGTCAAACGAGCTCGAATAATTTAACAAGCTCTGGAATGTGCAGTAGCGAAGGACAAGGCCGGAGCATTGATTTTGGCACCTGAGGCGGAAAATCCCAATGAGTTGCGCATTGCACACATAAGTACACACACGTATAATAACTGACCAGTTGCCACCTTTGACGAGTTTCCCAGAAATGCAACTCAATGAGCGAAGAGAATGGAAGCGTAGGGACACAGGCTCTCTTGCTTCAAGTGTTTTCCTCCATTGCCCAATGCGCTTGTTGTAGAAGCAGGGGTCGGGAACCTCAGGCCTGGGGGCCAAGTGTGGCCCTCTAGACCAGGCTTCCTCAACCTCAGCCCTCCAGATGTTTTGAGACTACAATTCCCGTCATCCCTGACCACTGGTCCTACTAGCTAGGGATCATGGGAGTTGTAGGCCAAAAACATCTGGAGGGCCGAGGTTGAGGAAGCCTGCTCTAGACTTCTATCCTGCCCTTCTCTGGCCCTGTTTCACACCCTCAAGTGTATATTCCTAGCTGAAATGTGGCCTTGAGCTCTTGCCGGTCTGGATGGAAGATTGAAAGAGGGACGTGCTGGTGTGTAGAAACTCGGCGACTGTGCAAAGGTGAAATTAGCATATGTTGCCCCACCCACTTTTGTTTCTGGCCCCGCCTACCACTTGCATGTGGCCCCAGGAAGGGAAAGAGGTCCTTGGGCAGAATAGGTTCCCCGTGCATGGTTTGAAGTGACAGAGCATAGCATGCAGAGGTGGTCAACGGTTGCACCCACTTCAGAGCCAAAGAAGGCCTTGGCAGTGCCTTCTGAGGGGGTCAGCTCAAGACTCAAAACAGAAATAGTAACAATAGTGACAGCAACTAATTTCATTAATACCAACCACAACAAATTGCATATATACCTTGTTCTTCCTCCAGTGCTGCTAAGGTGGTATATGGTTTTATATTCACTACAATCCTGCAAGGTAGGTTGGACTGAGAGAGTGTGACCAGCCCAAGGTCACACCATGAGTTTCACAGCTGGGAGGGGATCTGAAGCTGGGTCTTCCCTGGCACTAACCGATTCTGTGGGCCTCTGTTGGAAAGATACCCACAACTAGGAATGGGTGGATGGATCAGTCAATTTTGGTTCTCTCAATTTCTCATCTTTCCAATCTTAAATTCTGCAGCAATTTGCATTTCCCTTTTTCTTTTAACTAACTCCTCATGAGAATCCATCAGCATTATAGTGCATGTTTCTTCAAATAAACACATTTGTATGCAGCTTTGACTTGTGTGCACATTTTGGCACAAACTTTTCCCTAATACACATTTTTGTATCAATATTTTCATGAATATGTTCATTTTTATGCACCCTTTCTCCTAATACATGCAGTGGACTGTACGCCATATAGCGCTGAGTGGCGCTGTGAGCCAACAATGACTTCCACTATCCACAATGGAACTTTGTCCCCTTCTCGTCCCCCTGCAGGTCTCCTAAATTTGTTCTGGGGGTTCCCCCAACCACCCAGAGCAAATCTGGGGACACTATGGGCCACATGGAACTCGTTCCCACAGGAGACAGTGATGCCCACCAACCCAGATGGCTTTTCAAAGGATAGAAAAATCATGGAGGAGAGAGCTATCAATGGCTACCAGTCACACTGGCTACGCTCTGCCCCCACATTTGGAGGCAATAATGCTTCAGTTGCTGGAAACCACAGGAGGGGAGAGTGCTCTTGTGCTGGTTTCCCACAGGTTTCAGCTACTGTGAGACCAGGATGCTGCCAATGGCCATGATCCAGCAGGCTCTTCTTATGTCCTTATGAAGCCTTTGCAGCAGTCAAGAGGCATCGCCCTAAAATGTGCTACTTGGATAATTCTTGCTCTGCATCTTCACTCATTTGGAGCCGGCCGCCTGAGCAGCCGTGGAGCTGGAGAAGAAGTGTGTGGGAACAGGGAGGTGCTGGGGCTGTCAGTGGTGGGCGGCAGCGGGCTGCATGGCTGAAAAAGCTTTGTTGGAGGAGGGGCAGGCGAGAGAAGGAGGCCCGAGAGGCTCCCACCCTAGATGCTGTCAGGCCTTATTTCTGTCATACGCCTCAAGCCCACAAGGCCTCATTGTGCGGGCTTGTTAAACATGATTTTCCCAGCCAAACATAAGAGACCTGGCTTCGATGCTTACATGCTCCCAAATTCCCACCCGTCCTTTCTCCTTGTTATTCCCTCCGCCCTTCATCTCTAATAATGAATTCCCCCTGCCTTTATTTGCGGCTCCCCCTCTCTCCCTTTGCATTAGCCTGCAGCTTCTCTGAGCATGACTAGAGAGAGTTGGGAAAAGGCCAGGAGGTAGACAGTGGCACTGTTCTCTGCCCACTGGGCTCCTTTCGACACAGCCAGACAGTCCATATATCCCCAAACACAAAACGCTAGCAGCTCGTGGGCCGTTCCCCAAAGGGGTCTTCCTGCTTCCTTCCTGATGAGTCATTTCCTCAGCCCACCGATCCTTTCTCTACTGGGGCATTGGAAGATTTTTCATTTTTCACACACCATAGTCCGGGTCCTCCGAAAGTACCAGTCAGTCCCTCACTCTCATGGATAGAGTTGGGGTGGGTGAACCTGTCAATTTCAGTTCCTCTCAGTTTCCCCTTTCCCTCCCAGTCTTCAGGTCTCCACATTTTCACATCAAGATTGGATTTTTTTTTTAAGGCCTCACAAAAATTCACCAGCATTTTAATGATGATTTATCCTAATATACAGTACACATAGGGCTCATCCACACTTACATTTGTTCCTTGCTTTCTAGGCACAGATCCAGGTCCATGTCTGAGCAGGGGTTTTTCCCCCCTGGAGCCATGGACATAGCCAGGGGGTGCAGCTGCCCCCCTCAAGTAAAACAATAGAAATACTTAACTGATCAATCATGTTGGTTCTGCCCCCGCTAACAAAAGTTCTGCCCCCCCCCCAAATGCTGGCTATGCCCATGCCTAGAGCTTTCCTGAGAAAAAGCCATGTTTTTACCACTGAATCAGAGCAAATATGAATCTGTGGAAAACCAAATTGACGTTTGCTCTGATTCAGTGGTAAAATGCAGACATGGAAAGCCCAGACCTGTGCCCAGAAACACAGAGCGAAGGTAAGTGTGGATGAGCCCAAATATATGGCTTCCCATTAGCTATTTGTTTGTTCCATAGTTTTCAACGCATTTCCCCCATCACTTTCCAAATCACAAAAGTCTAGTCAGTGTGGGTTGTGTTTTTTTTGTTTGTTTGTTTAAATGGATTTGTTGCTCTTGGGTGACAACATTTTAATCCACATTAAATGTGCAAAACTTAGATCACAGCTTCTGCCAAAGAATCCTGGGAACTGTCCTTTCCTCCACAAAGCTTTAATTCTCAGGACCCTTAACAAAATAGAGTTACCAGGATTCTTTGGGGAAAGCCATGTGCTTCAAATACGCTTAAAAGTGTATGGTTTTGATTGTGACCCTCAGGCTCTGGTATATTATTTATTTAATTTTTAGATCACCCTATAGCTCTCAGGGCAGTTAACAACGTATGCCATTGAATCCCTCCTGCCAAATACTGAGTCTGAAGGAAGCCTCTATGAGTCCCATAACAACCTAAGACAAATCGGCACATATACTGTTTTGGTTATGTGAGACTTCAGCACAAGCTCACACAGCAAGGTGGGATAGAGGGGGAAGAGCCATAGCTCAGTGACCGAGCATGCTAAAGGTCTCAGGTTCAATACTCAGCATCTCCAGGTAGGGCTGGGAATGTCCCCTGTCTGAAACCCTAGAAAGCTGCTGCCAGTCAGTGTACACAATAATGAGCTAGATGGACCAATGGTCTGATTTGGTGTATGGCCGCTTCCAATATTCCTAGAGTTGTCGTCTTGCACCATAAAGACTACCGGCCAGACTGTCCATCTTTAGGTTACACCTTGCCGCACTCTCCTGCCACTGTCAATAGTTATACAGCCGTACTTTGGATCCCAAATGCCTTGGCTCCCAAACAAATCGGCTCCCGAATGATTGAAACCCAGAAGTGAGTGTTCTGGTTTTCGAACAATTTTCGGAAGCCGAACATCCGGTGCGGCTTCTGATTGGCTGCAGGACGCGCCTGCAGCCAATCGGAAGCTGTGCTCTGGTTTCTGAACATGTTGGAAGTCAAATGGACTTCCGGAACAGATTCCGTTTTACTTCCAAGGTACGACTGTACCATGGAAAAGTGTTTGCAGTTTAAGCAAGAAAAGTCTCATATCACATTAGAAACACACAGACAAATTGCCCTGGGTGCATAGGGGAGAGAATGGCAGAAAGCAAAGAGGAAGGAAAAAGGCGGAAAGAGAAAACAGCTCATGAAACAACATAGATTTTGGCTCTCCTCCCCAATGCATTCCTCTCATTTAAATTATTGCATTTAATACTGTGCACATCCGGTGGGGTTTCTGCCCAGGAGAAAAATATCTTGTTTTGATTTAACGAGGGCTTTTTTGGCCAAATCAGATAGCCTTTTCTGCCAAAGCGAAACATTTATTCTTCTCTTTCCCCATGTCAATTTTTTTCCTTTGTTGTTTTTGCTGCCCTCTGCCCTGTGTCGGATTCAAGCTCCCCCTCCCACTTCCCCACATCTCTCTCATTCCAGAGCGGTGTTTGGGCTGCAGCCAATTTCAGTGCTATAGAAAGACTTATTTGAAAAAGGAAAGAAAAAGAAAGGAAAGGATGGCCAAACCAAACCAGAGGAAATGAGAACAAATGAAAGAGAGCTCAAGGTAGGCTGTAGACTCCAAATCAAAAGCAAGGCAGCTCAAACCAAACACACAGAAACATCAACTGCTCTTCATATGAACGGTCACACCACAATACGGTCATTTCC